GTGCTTTTTACAGATGGAATTACGATGTGATCAAGTTGGCACACTTCTGTTATCCAGAAATAAAAAAGCAAATAGAAACTTTTGTGATCAAATGCATACGGTTGTTTTAATTGTGCTTAGCTTCAATCTGTAGCTTCTTTTTTAAGTCTTCACAACATATCACATATCCATTCAGTTTCATTATGAAGCAATAATTTGAAACACATTCAAACTGTGGAATTTTAGAATATCCGCAAAAATTTCGAGCAGTGAAAATTTTCTTAATAACTCAATAAATCTTTCATTGTTACATACTTTCGTTCACCATGAACTTTTTTAAAGTCAATTTTGCCTATACTAATTTTTTGCAGAAAGTAACTGAATTGCTTGAATTGATTAAAACAAGAAAAGAAAAGTTCATTTATTTCGTGGCAAAAATGTTTACTTGGAAAATTAAAAAAATTTTAATCTTAAAGTAAATTGGCTTGCTTTTACTTGAATTGTTGCTAAGAGAGTAAGCTTTGCTCCCAAAAATATTTTATTAGAAAAAATCCCTATTAGGCTGTATCGGAAGAAACATTTGCTATAGCATAATAAAGCTTTATCACTTGCTCTAACCCTATGCCTACTTAGTATGAAGTAATCCTATCGAATGCAAAGTATAAGCAAGTCACTTCGTCATGTGTAGTAATTTGAGAAAAACTGCTGGATATGCTTGATGGATGGCTGGATACTAAATTAGCAGCAAGATGAAGAATTCCAAAAAAGGCAACTTTTTCAATTTTCCATACTTAGCAATCAACTGCTTCATCTCAATCTAACTAGAATACAATTTTCTACTTAGTTATTTCTTATTCCTTTTTCTCAGTACAGATAAATATTTAGAAAATTTTAATACTTTTAAGAATTAAAATAAAACAAAATATGCAAAGAAATATTTTCAATTTAAAATTAGACTTTTAATCCGCTGAATTTTGCATAATCTCAGATTAGTAGAGCAAAAATAAAAAAGTATTTTCAATAGTGTACATTTTATCTCAAAAATATCTCGACTTAGTAATATATAAGTGTAAAAACATTTTGACTTTTCTTTGTGATAAGTGAAAAAGTTTAAAACAGCTATTTTGATTGATATTTGTTGCTCTTAGTGCTTATTTTTATCCTTAATTTAAACTAAAAGTAATCAGTGAAACAACTGAATTCTTAGCACTCAACTTTCTTGAGAAAAGTTCTGAAAAATACTCGAAAGGATGAATAAATGCATCATATTACTCAAATATTTGCTCTCCTCCACGTCCAAACAAGTCGGAATTCAACAAAATAACAATTGTTATCATAAATGATTGAATCCTTTACTCTACTCATTGCTTTCACATAAAAAATATTGATATTTGCTACAAAAATTTTCAAAACTTTTGCAATTCTTAAGTGAAAACTTTTTTGTGAGCAACAAAATTAATGAATAATTGAACGAATATGAAAATAATTAAAACTTTTAAACTTTGTTTGTAGCATTCTGCAATTTTCATCTTTGTATACTTTTAATCAAAATATATTCAAAAATTATAAAATAAAATTAATTTCAACAATAAGCAGAATTTAAATATTTTTTTATTGTCTTATGCCATGTAATAAACAAGTTTGATCAAGTATTTAAATAAAAATTGGTTTGTAAATTAACACTTATTGATTTACTATTATTGGAACAAAACTTTTAATATTCTGATCAATCACTGAAATTATTAATCAAATGTATGTCAAATTAATTAAGTAACTGATTAATTCCCAAGGAGTGTGAGCGCAACATACCAGCATGTTCAGGTCCATCTTCTAAAATATATTCGTTATTCAGAAATTTTGCAGTAACTTCTGAAATATGTACACGTCCAGCTGTTCCAGTTGATTCCATTTCATTAGCAAGCGTTACATCATTTGAAAAAACGTCAAATTTAAATCGTTTCATACCAACCATACCACACATTACCTTAAAATATTTTAGAATTATTATGAAAAGTTGAAAGGAATGAATAAAAACTGGAAAAATTATACGCAAAAATAATCAATTAATCTCGAAAATTCCACTAAAAATGCACTGAAATTTACAATTAGGGAGCATGAATTTCGAGTCTCAAAGTTAAATCTGCAATATTTATAATTTTTCTAAAATGAAGTCCCAGAAATTTTATAGGCTTACAAGTTAGAAGCAAAAATAATTGAAAAAAAACAAATGAAAATTAGTTTACAAAAGAAAAACCTCCGAAAAGAAATATGATAAATGTAAATACATTGTAGAATAACAATTGTATATAAAATATTCTGATATCAAGGGCATTTTAGGTAACTAATATTAGTTCAAAGTTCAGAAGGTGAACCTTTCCTGTATGTATACCGACACGCATATTAACTTGCTGACCACGATCTTCGTCAAACTGCTGGATAGCAGTGATCATAGCTAATCCCATTTCTACGCAACAACGAGCATGATCTGATCGAGGTTCAGGACAACCTGCCACACAATAATAACAATCTCCTGAAAGTCAACAAAAAACTCAAACGTCTCCATACTGACTATTAGCGCAAAATGTTTAGAGCACACTTAGCTGTTTATAGAAAAATTGTTTTGCTGCATATTTCCAAATTCATACACATAACATTTATAAAACTTGAATTGTAAATTAAAGTTTCAATGCTCAATAATTAAGCAGTCACATAACAAATGAGTAATGAATATAGAATATTTGTGAGTGAAATTTTAAAAACTTTAGAGGAGGTTAATTTATCTATTTATAGAGATGAATTAGCAGACTGAATGCTTAATTAAACCTAAAGTACTGATTTTTTCCAGATTGCATCGACCACATAAATAATCGAAGCGCCCAAATAGATCATTCAACAAATTTACCAGTTCATCAGCTGATTTATTTGATGACATTTTTGTGAAGCCTGAATTACAAATTGTGTTTATAAATCTTTCAAAAATAAACTTTTCAAGTTTAGCTTTGAACCAATGCAGTCACAAAAATCCAAAAAAAAAACTTCAAATTAAGAATTTCTAAGTTTCTATCACAAATTCAAGAAGTTGTACTAAGTTTGTTCCTTAATTTAATCGAAGTATACAATTTTTTAGAATTCGTAAGCAAAAAAATGCCAGTATATACATTTCTTTAGTTTATAAAAAACTTTTTACATTGAAAAAAAAATGCATGATTTTACTTAGCACAATAAGTTACAACTAAAAACTGATTATATTACTTACCAGCAATATCAGCAAACAAAATGGAAACATTTGTCATCATATTCATAGTAAAAGGTCGAAATTTTCGAACATTTGGAGCCAAAAAAGTTGCAGATGATGCAGTATTTGGATTACACACTTCCGACTTATCTTCTTTCAAATTTACGTCGTTTTTTACGCGCAAGTGTGCATCGTGACCAGAGGAAGATCTACGTACATTGGTTTCCTTTAGCAGTTCATTAGCAACCTGTAAGCAAAGACGATATTCAATTCCAAGCATGAAAATAAAATTGGAAATTTTCTTAATTTTCAAGAAATGGAATTTTTCTGAAAAATAAAAATTGACTAAGAATTTTGTAAACAAAAAGAGAGCCAACAGAATGACTATTTTGAAGCAAAAAATAAAATCTCAAACATTATAAGAAATGTAAGCAAATACAAGAATATTTTTTAAAAAAGCGGGAAATTTGCGAGATAAGTTTTAAAACATATAGCCGAAAAATTGCATGACATACTGCAAGAAAATTTCAATGATTCGTAAAACTTAATAGTCCACACAAACGATCTGACCTTTTTTGGCATAACAGACTGTATCATATGGTCTTTAAATTGAGTTTCCACTTCCAAATCTTTACGTGCCAATAAAGACTGGCCTACTTTCAAAAATGTTTTCCGTTGTCGAACTGCAAGAGTGCGAATAATTTTGACCTATCAACTGCACAGTTTAACCTTTTAGCGTATCATATGCTGTATGAAAGTTTTGAATTCAAGAATAAAATTGAATATCAAAAAATTACCAAAATTTTCAAGAATAATGAAAATTTGATAGAACTAAAAGATGTAAAAAAATGTGCTAGTTTCATTTCAGTTACAAAATTACAATGTTCCAAGCATTACTTATAGATATGTAAAATACAAATATCAAGTTAGTATACCTTGAGTAAGGATGAATAAATGAACACCTAATAGATGGATACCAAAATGCAAAATAAGTTTAACACCAGGTGTATCCAAGTAATTCGTCATCTCAGTACCAAGCATTTCAAATAGCGTTGAATATACTAAGCCAATTAAAATGCATAGATAAAGCGGTAATGGAATTATCATATAAATTAATAACACTACCTGAACGAAGTAAAGAAGTAATAATATATTAGTAGTGCAATAATTTATTTAAAAAAAAGTTTTAATTTCTAAGCAAAATTTTCAACATTGAAAAAAAATTGAATGTAAATCAACTTGTAAGAAGAGAAATTATAATGTGAAATACCTGAAAACTAGTGGCTAAGTCTCCAATCGGTCCCATAAACGAATTCGATGTATCAGAAAAAATGAGTAAAGTTACTGCGCAAAGAATGAAAACACAAAGAAATGATGCTGGCAAATAAAAACGTTGATAATGCACGGTAAATAACGTGAAAAGGAACATTCCAACTGATAGTGTGAACAAGCCAGCTGATACCAACTAAATTTTTGCATATAAGCTAAGACTAATGAAACACTTAAACTGGAAAAGTGTTAATAAATGTGATGCAAATGCTTTCATCTATCTATCTCTTATAATCTTATCATTTCTTTTAAAGACTAATATTGCAGAATTTTGTGTTTTTATTACAACAGCAGAGGACAAATTCAGTTAAGCTGATTCGTTTTTGATTTGGCCAAATTAAAGTCAATCTTTGAGTAGAGCTGTGAGCATTTGATTGCATTCAAAGTAATGAAATAATTATATGATTTAATTCTCAATTTTATTCTCACCTTTGAATGTACCAAAAAAGACTAACTAACTTTCAACAAATTTCAGCATTTCACAAAAGTTTTTAAACTTGTGAAAAATTTTTTTTAATTGACTTCTTTTTTGAGTAAGCAAAAGTTTGCACATACCCAATGGGCCATGCTTGCATGATCGAAAATTTCTAAATATACAATCCATAAAATGCAGGAGAAGCAGATATAGATTAGTCCAGACCTGAAACTCTTTTCAAACTTTTTGATCATTATTTTCATATCAGCAGTGATTAGACAAGAATATATCATAGTTGCAA